GAGAGTCACGACTTTGTAGTCTCGCGCCACTTTAGGTGGACCAATAAGAAATCGTGGCTTCATGATTTCGAGATTTTCGAGATAATCGATTGTGTTAAGCGTATCCCTTTTAGAATAGGACGAGAATTTGTATGGGTATGAAACGATTCCTGTAGGAGAGTTACGACTTTGTAATCTCGCGCCACTAGGTGGACCAATAAGGAATCGTGGCTTCAAGATTTCGAGATTTTCGAGATAATCGATTGTGTCAAGCGTATCCCTTTTACAATAGGATTTTCCGCATTTCTTCATAATCTGAACGAAGTGAGGCTTGTGAATTAATAGAAAAAATTATTTATATCGTAAATGATTTATTCGAATTTTTAAATTTTAGTTTCCGGCACGGTTGCTCACTTGAGCGATTAAACGTCCTTGATTCATCTGAAAAACACATTCTTCGCTCATAACTAGTTATGATTTGGAATAAGATGAAAAATAAATGTAGACTACATATATTATCGTATTGATCTTGACGGGTCATTTGTCGTTATTAAATTCCACTACGTGAATCAAAACTTTTTTGAGGTTATGGTTTTCGAAAAACAATTCACGCAAACAATCCAACGAAAACCCATACTAAATCTTTCGGTTTTGGTGAACAATTAAAAATCACTTGAGAATTCACATTATTCTAATAAAAATGACAATCGAATTGAATATAAATCGCGTCTTTCCGACACGTAAATGGAAACAGATATGGCCGATGATTTTGAAGAGAATATAAATAATTGTGCCATGAATCGGAATTCGGTAATTATTGCCGCATACTCGCTTGCGTCAACAAAACCGTTGCGTGCCTGACAACTGCCCATGGAATTCTACATTTTTAAATAAACAATATTTACAGTAACAATATTGAGAACAATATTTACGGAGTAAAAGGTTCAATCAATGCATTAGATAACATCAACCGAATTCTGGTGTCAGTATAATATTTCTAAAACTATTGATTTAATTTTTATCCAGCATTATCTTTAGAGAATAATAAAAGGAACGTCAAATGACTGCTAGCTACTCTGACAATAAATTGATGTTTATTAATCCCTGAGAAACTCCGAATTCAAGATTATTCTATTCGTATTGTTTATTCAGATATCGAAGACTCGGCAAACTCCATTCCCCCGTCCATCACGTAAATTTCCATCAGGAAGCACCAGCAAGCAGTTCCCCCATTCAAAATTATTGGATGATGAATCGAGGCCGAACTACGACTGTCTCATCAGACAAAGAATCTTGCCCCAACTCTCAGACTCCCTCAAACAAAACTTGATAGACTAGATCGTCGAGTGCATCCACTCCATCGAACTCAACCCGAAGTCTCTATCATTTCCGCTAAATTTATGGATACAAGTACCCAAAAGATAAGTTAAAAAATCGAGGATCCAGCAGCGAGTTCGTGTTTACGTGAGTCCAATAGAATGAGAGAGTGTGAAATGAGAGCACTGGGTGTGGAAGGGGTGTCAGGGCTCTAGGCCAGGAATTCTTGCCAAATTCACTTTGAATGCCTCGATCGAAACTTTCCGGTGATCCCCAGGGGTCGGTAATGAAGCTGATACTCTTCTTAAAGTGTATTCTTTTCTCCACTCCCACACGCCCAATCGGGCAACTATTAATTGAAGAGACATTGATAGGCTTGATTAACCCCGTGGGGGTGGGTTAATGTCACAGGAATTCTGGGAAAACTTTTCGAGACACGTGGGGTGAGAGATTTGGAAATATCAGGGGCAACGTTGACAGCCTTCAACGGAAGGAGGGAAATGTGTCACAAGATGGATCAAAGTTGGCACCTGCTAAAAGTGAGGATCTGATGTTGACGTGAGGGAAATGGAAATTGGGAAAATTCCACTGGATTTCTGGGATATGAAATTAATTTCTTTGTTTTTGTTTCGTCGAAGAATTTAATGGAACGTTTAGGCTAAGGGTAATCTAAGAGCGGATGAAAAAGGTCCATCTATGATCAATTGTTTGAAGGAATGGGAATAGGAATTTTGAAAGATTTTCGTGCACAGGAAATTAATTTCTTGACGAAAGAATGGAGGTGAAATTATTTTGGGTAATTCGATTCATTTTTCGGAGGAATTCCTGTTGATTTACATTTTGTAATGATTTCATTTGAGGGAATCATTTGTAGAAGTGGGAAATTTGTGCTGAGTCTTAGACATAAGAAATTAATTTCTTGAGGGAGAGATGGAAGAAGAATTATCTCGGAGATTTGAAATTGAATTTTTGATGGGAATTCCTGTTGAGAAAAATTTTGAAGAGGTTTTATGTATCTCAAGACTTCAGGATGTAAAAGAATAGGGATTTACTGAAATCTAAGGAATTAATTTTCGGAAATTCTTTCTTACAGACAGAGAATTCTAGAGAATTTCTTGTTGAGGAAATTAATTCCTTGGATTTCAAGAAATCCTCATTCTTTCACATCTTGAAGTGTTCCGTTCAATTGAACTCTGGGAATAAATAGAAAAACGGAGAATCATATGGGATTTGGAATTTGGAGGACGGGAAATCAATTTCACGATGAACAAGCGGTAACAGGAATTTATTTCCCGATCTAGAGATGGAAGACGAATTATTTTGGAGATTCGAGATTGAATCTTCATGGAAATTTCTGCTGAGAAAAATTTTGAGAAGGTGATATTTATCTTACAACTTCAGGATGTGAAAGAAAAGGAAATTATCGTTTTATTAATTTCGTGAGCACAAAATTTTCTAGAAGTTCGCGCTCAGGAAATTAATTTCTCGGATTTCAAGAAATCCTCATTCTTTCACATCTTGAAGTTTTCCGTTCAATTGAACTCTGGGGATAAATAGAAAAGCGAAAAATCATATGGGATTTGGAATTTAGAGGACAGGAAATTAATTTCCCGACGAACGAAGGGTAGCAGGAATTTATTTCCTGATGAACGAAGGGTAGCAGGAATTTATTTCCCGATGGAGGGATGGAAGAAGAATTATTTCCGAGAATCGAAGTTGAATCTTTACGGAAATTTTGAAGAATTTTGAGGTGTTATGTATCTTACAATTTCAAGACGTAAAAGAAGAGGCAATTCTCGTCATATTAATTTCCTGATCACGAAATTTTCTAGAAATTCGCGCTCAGGAAATTAATTTCTAGGTTTTCAAGAAATCCCTATTGTTCAACATCTTAAAGTTTTCTCTTCGATTGAACTCTCGAAAGAAATAGAAAAACGGAGAATTATATAGCATTTTGAGCACAGGAAATTAATTTCCCAATGACCAAGGGGTAACAAGAATTGCTTCTGCTAATTATATTCAATTCTTCGGAAGTAATTCGTACCAACTTGCATTTCATAAAGTTATTATATTCTACTGGTTTTAGATTTCAGGTCAGCTTATCAAAAATTCTAGTCTTGCTTCACGCAATTTTCAATATAAATACAATCAATTCGAATCTTACCCTCTCGATATTTCCTCCGCTGACAATCTCCGGTGCATTAACACACACAACACGTTTAATCCTCAATTTGTTAACATGGAACGCCGACCCGTAGCAGTACATCAATACCATGGTTGTTGGAAAATAAAAGCAGCAACAGGCCAATATCCTGTAAATCCATGGAGTAATTTGGTTAACATAATCTAGTTTATCATCGCAAGATTATTTTACATGGTGGGAGGTTTTATCGGAGCTTTCGAGGGACAGCGAAAAGCCATTAATGAGTAAATTCTGAAAGTCTCAAATTAAGACTCTGAGCGTTCTCAAACCAAATTGGTTTGGCTCGAGCTTTTAGGGAACATCATGTGATGCAAAATATTAATTTATCGATATTCCAGGGGTATGATAAAAAAATTGATACAGTGAAAGGAAAATAGATTTTTTATAATCATTCATAACTTGAGGGAAGTATAGATCTTCGTAGAAATGATAAATCTTTTTTTTTTTTTAATGCTTATTTTACATCGCTTCGAGTCGGAGGAGACTATGTGGCGATTGATCAAGACTTTTTTGAACCTCGTTAGATCTCACCAGTCTACCCGGCCAGGAATCGAATCTGGAACCTATCCGTTGTGAGACAACGGCCTTAACCACTACGCCAGGCCACCGGGCGAAATTATAAATCTGGACTAGGTGTTACTACTGGTAATTATATTGATCTAGACTCTAAAGGATGGTTGTATTTATTATGATCTTGGATAAAGTCAATCAATAATGATCAATATTAAAGTACTTCATCAATTTTTTCGACAGAAAATTCCGTCTTTCAAGGAAATTAATAATTATCAGTCGAGCTCGTCCAAGAATGCACGGATTTTAGTAATTTTTATTTAGAATCGTGATAAAAAATAAGAGGCAGTCCGTAAATTTTATTATTTACTCCGGAAAATTTGCGGTATTGCCACGTATTTTTTTTCTGTCCTCATAAAATTTACAGAGTCTTAAGGTAGTACTTTAGTATATTGAAGCAACGATGAGATTTTTATGAAAATTGACATGCAGATAGACTTTAAGGTAGTGTTGTGTAGTGCGGGGGAATAGAACGGGAGAATTCCGTACCTAGTTTTGTACTTTTACGGATAAACTTATAATATATCAAAATATCAAATAAATATGAAATGAGTGCAGGCCAACCCTAAGCAACATTTGGCGCGCAGAAGTAATGGAGGAAAAATGAAAAAAACCCTTTCAAGGACTGGAACTATGCCCCGAAGGTCCTAAAATAAGGCCCAAGTCGGTAAGTTTAGACTTAGTCTCTCTTGAGTACCCGTACACGGAGAGAAATAATTAGTAAAAAATTACGAAACTTTCAGTTCGCTTACCGATTACGGAATAGACTCGAAAAATTGAAGTGACGATATCCTAATGTCTCACACATAATTCAGATAAAAATTGCATGACAGTTCTTCAAAATTTCGTACAAACAAATTTCACTGCAGAATTACGGAAAAGTCAAGTAATTTCGATTGAATATTTCTCTCCGTATAAAACGACGTACCTCTCGGTTAGAATCCTGAAAAATTATAAATTACATAGAAGAGGGAAAGTTGTTATAGCTTTCCACATTTTTATGACGCCAGGGGAGTCGTTGGATAGGATTTGGATTAGGTAGGAAGGGGAACAGGATAATTATCGATATAATTTTTACAAGGAAAAAAAATAAAAATTTAAATTACTGTAAAAATGGATAATAAT